ATTGAAAATTTTTAGTTTATATCATGTATAGTTTAGATTTTCTATACTGATAATTAATATAGAAATGTAGCCTATGTAATACTTACTACTGCATCTCGTTATACTTGATGCATTTGAAGTCAATGACTCTTTTGAGGCTATTGTCAGTTGAGTTGACATATTAGTTGACATAGGTACATTGTGTTGCTTGCTGCTACATGGTTCATCAATGGACTGGAGAGGAATTCGATCAATATTGGAAGATTGGAATATTGGATGAGACTGATATGTTTTCTTATTATTAAAAGTTGAAAGCAAAATATCATCTTGGCACAATGAAAATGAAATTGTATTTTCCTTATCTATGCTTTTTTCACTTGTTGATGTTTCCTGCATGAAAAACATGAAAAAATATGAAAAACAAATTCACTTTAATAAGAAAATGGAGTGTATACAAAATGCTTATATTTAGAAGTTTTATTGCTTTGTATTTGTTTTATTACTTGTATTTCATATTTACCTTTTCTTCCTCAATAATAATATTTTCTTTGGAGACATTAGTTGATGCCAATCCCAAAAGTACTGATGGATTAATAATGTCCTGTTCAAGTAGAGACACAGTTTCATTTATTCATGAGTTTTAAATAAGCAAAATAATCTAAATAACGAATGTATAAAAGCAAAATGGTAAGTGAATGCAAAGGTTATGCTAAAATAAAGTTAACTGCATTATGTTATAATGCTAATGCATAATATACATATAATATTAAGATAAGTAAACATATAATATTAAGTAAACATATAATATTAATATAATATAATATATAATATAATATATAATATAATAATATATATATAATATAATAATATAATAATATATTATATATAATATAACATATAATATAATATAAGTAAACATATAATATTAAGATAAAGTTAACTGCACATATATGCAAGATCAAAGATGCTGATATAACATTCTATATGAAAAAATAACAAACCTCAGGCTGCTCTTCGAGTCCTACTTCCATTATAGATAAGCCCACAGAAGATTCACCTCCAAAAATAGAAATGATTCTCAAATCCAAATCTTTCAATTGTATTGGAGCTCCAATATTGCCAGTCATCTTTTGTGCTGCTTTTGCTTTGGCTGCCCGACCTCTGGCTTGGTTACGTTGATCACACCACAGCTGCAATATACATACATAACAATACACTAATATTATAAAAAAAATAGCATTTCATAATAAAGAAGACAATGTAAGGAAATAATACTTCAACTATGATAAAAATTTACAATTAAACTTACTTTTTTCCAACCTTCTGTACCTGGTCCTTTGATGGTCCGTCTAAACTATTTAACTGTTCAGTTAATTGCTGCCATTGTACATCATGAGTTGGCTTTCCCTTTGCTTCTAATAATTTGCCAGTGGCAAACGCTGTATGGTTCTCCATATATGTAATTAGGTAATCTTATTGTTTATTTGTTGTTTTAGGGGCTCTTGTCTTTTTCTGTGCAATTTTCATCCTATAAAAATGTATTGTTTATTAGTTTCATCCAGTTATGTATGTAGTCCTTTTTTATTTTACGTAAAAAATTATATTATTCACTACAATTTATTTATTACCAATGTGTGCCCATAGTATAAGTTATATATATATAGTAAATAAAGTATAAATAAATTATACATTACTTCGAATATTTTATTCTATCCTCGTTTCTCCACAGCGGCTGTTGAACGAAAGAACGAAAGGACTGGAAAGGACGAAAAAACGACACGGGATCGTCGGGATCGTCGTCAAGTGGGACGCGGCCTTAGCTGATTCAAATATTTTAAATCTTTTGCTATGATTGGTATAGAGATTATTACGTTCTTATTTCCTCCTAGTTCCTTCGCAATTTGCGTTATATTCCCGAAGATGCCCAAAGAACTGACGACTCATAACGCAAAACGTTAACGTAGCTTTTAGAAGAGGATTCTTAAGAATAATGCGTTACGAGTTAACGCAAATTTCGTTAGTGAAATTATAACGCAACAAATTTCAGAATAAGCCCCCTGGGATATTTGTCCACGACGTCGTCCGTTGCTGTTTTGGGTGTATATCAGTTGGACACGGGGCAATTGAATACAGTCCAATCACAAGTCGCTGTTCCAAGGGACCCTACAAATGTCTCTAATCACACGGTGTTGTGATTGGCTGTGTCCAAATGCACCATGTCCAAGTGCACCGCTCCCGCTGTTTTCAGTCTTGATTCTAATTAAAATGCGCTGCTCTGTTCGCGACTACGTTTCAGTAGTTTTGTGCTAACGTCATATTATTTTGAGCTAATGTCATATTATTGATCTTGTAAATAAGGAGAGTTTGCAATGAGATCTTGAAGTGTAAAGACGTGTGAAAGATCTGGTTGCCTTTGAATCAAACTCGGTTATAATTATATTTGAGTTTCCATTAAAATAGTTCTCGTTCTCCTTTAAAGGTGTTATTTATTTATTCCTCTCTATAAGTGACAGTTTTGTGTGAATTTAACCCGAGAGTGTAACAATTTGGGGGCTCGTCCGGGATAAGGCGACAATATGACTAGTGAAGCGGGTGAATCGGGAGCTCCTTTGAGGAAGCGACTTAGGCATTTGACACCGACCCTAGTAGCGGCGGAAACGCAGGAAACTATGAGGATAATGTTGAAGGAAGCGATGTCGGAGCTATGAGCGATTCGAGAGGAGCGTCTGAGGCTGCTGCAAGGACAAGCTGCGTCAAGAGAGCACCCGCAATTTCCAGGCCAGAATCATTCTTTTTATCCTGAGTTAAAACCGGACTTTTTTGACGGGACTGTCCCTGTCACAGAATATTTTATTCAATTTGAGACAATTGCTCGTGGAATAGATGGGATGATCAGTTAAAAACAGTTTATTTAATTGCGAGTTTAAGGGGAAAAGCACGGTCCGTTCTTGGGAATTTTCAGGAGAAAATGAATTTTGATGAAGTAAAGAGTAAATTAGAGCTTAGATTTAGGGAACGTATGACTTTTCAAGAAAGTCATATTCGGTTTCAAAATCGAAGACAAGGAGTTGGGGAGGATTTTGCTTCTTTAGGAGTCGATTTAGAAAAATTAGCTCATTTAGCTTATCCGGAGTGTGATTTTAGTATCCGTGATAAGATTGCTTGTGCGCAGTTTATCACTGCGGTTGCTGACAATTTTATTAAGAGAACGTTACAATTAGAAAATATTACTTCGCTTAGAATTGCGATTGAGCAGGTATCGACAATAAAAATGATTCAGGAAAATAGTTTTCCTCGGGAAAGAAACAGAAATGTTGCTGGAAATTTCGGTATGCGTTACGAAACGTCAATGATAAAACGGCCTAAAAAAACAGTGGATAATTCGTCGAATTTAACTTCACGGGGTGAACAAACGGAAAATTTTAGTAACAAAAGAGAATGCTGGAAATGCGGAAAATTGGGACATTTTCGCGCGGAATGTCCGTCTTGGAATTCGACCAGTCAGTCAAACTAAATTTTGCCGAACTTTTTGGGGTCGGTTCGACAAACAAAGACGTGACCCCAATTATTCAAAATGTAGTTAATATTAGTCATGCAGGTTTGCCGAATTTTAGTTATTCGGGGAAAATAAATGGAAGATCTTGTTTTCTCAAAGTGGATACAGGATCGGATGTTACTATAGTTAATAAGAGAATTATTAAGGAACTTTCGAGGGATTTTCCATTGTGCAGATCTGAAAATAAATTAAATTTAGTTTATCCAACAGGAGAATCTGTTCCTTTTAGTTCAAGAGTTATAGTGAAAATTGAGTTAGGATCTTTTTCATTAGAGCTTCCGGTGTATGTCGCAGAAATAATAGACGATTGTTTGTTGGGAGCGGATTTTCTTTGTAAGACAAATATTGAAACAGGAATCAGAGCTGCGTTGGGAATTTTGCCAGTGAAACAAAAGTTGGAATGTGCGCAGATTAGTTGTGTTTCTGAAGGTGTTCCGGAAAACTTGCAGACATCTTCGATACAACTTCCGGAAGAGCTCAGTGTTTTTCAGAAGAAAGAATTTGATAATTTTTCAAATGAATTTAGAGATGTGCTTTCAGAAGTAGTTGTAGCTGGGAATTGTGATGTTGTTAGGCATAAGATTACGCTGTCTGATAATAAACCAATTAAACAGAACCCTCGACGTGTTCCTCTAAAAATGCGTGGGGGAGTTGAAAAACTTATTGACGAAATGCGTGAAAAGGGGGTGATTGAAGAATCACATAGTCCGTGGATTTCGCCTGTGGTATTAAAACAAAAGAAAGACGGATCTTATAGATTTTGTGTGGATTTTCGGAGTTTTAATGCTGTTACAATTAAAGACTCTTATCCAATTCCTAGAATTGATGATTTGTTAGATCGTTTAGTGGGAAATGTTTGGTTTTCGACTATTGATTTGAAGAATAGATATTGGCAGGTGAAACTCTTAGACGAGGATAAGAAAAAAACAGCTTTTTCGGTTGGCAACGGATTATGGCAATTCAATGTTATGTCGTTTGGGTTGTGCAATGCTCCGGCTACTTTTGAGAGAATGATGGAAAAGATTCTCGAAGGCCTATTATATAAAATTTATCTTGTTTATTTAGATGATGTGATTATTTTTGGCCCTACATTTGAGGGAATGATGGAAAATCTTCGTGAGGTATTTTTAAGGTTACGTGAGGTTAATTTGAAGGTTAATCCGAAAAAATGTGTTTTTTTTAGTAAGAGTGTATCTTATCTTGGTCACATTATTTCGGGAGAAGGTATTGCTTCTGATCCTAAAAAAATTTCTTCAATAATAGATTGGCCGATTCCGAAATCTAAAAAACAGGTTAGGAGTTTCCTTGGTTTTTGTTCATATTATCGGAAATTTATCAGGGGTTTCTCTTTAATTGCTAAACCCTTGTATTCTCTTACAGATAAGCAGACAAAATTTCTTTGGACTATTCAATGTCAACAAGCATTCGAAGATTTAAAAAAAATGATGACATCTCCACCTGTTCTTTCTTTTCCTCTGGAAAATACTGAGTATATTCTTGATACCGATGCTTCTGGACATGGTATTGGAGCTGTATTGTCTCAGATTCAGGAGGGAAAGGAAA